CTGTTTCTTGAATTCTAAAATTCCCTTGTCCTTAGCAGCAAAAGAAAAAATGGGTAAATTGACTTCATCAAAATTAAAAACTTTTGCACATTAAAGGACACTATCAAGAAAATGAAGAGACAGGGCCTGCCCCATGGCTTAGCGGTTAAGTGCACGCGCTCTGCTACTGGCGGCCCGAGTTCGGATCCCGGGCGCGCACCGACACACTGCTTCTCCGGCCATGCTGAGGCCGCGTCCCACATACAGCAACTAGAAGGATGTGCAACTATGACATACAACTATCTACTGGGGCTTTGGGGGAAAAAAGGAGGAGGATTGGTGATAGATGTTAGCTCAGAGCTGGTCTTCCTCAGCAAAAAAAGAGGAGGATTAGCATGGATGTTAGTTCAGGGCTGATCTTCCTCACAAAAAAAAAAAAAAGTGAAGAGACAGAATAGGAAAAATATTTGCAAATCATATATCGGATAAGGGTCTAGTATTCAGAATATATAAAGAACTCTTATAACTCAACAACAAAAAGACAAACAACCCAATTAAATAATGGGCCAAGACTTGAAAGACATTTCTCCAGAGAAGATAGACAACTGGCCAACAAGCATATGAAAAGATGCTCAACATGATTAGCCATTAGGGAAATGCAAATCAGAACCACAATGAGATAGCACTTCACACCCAGTAGGGTTTAATTAAAAAAAAAAAAAGGAAAATAACAAGTGTCGGAGAAGATGTGGAGAAACTGAAACCTTTGTACATTGCTGGTGGGAAAGTAAAATGGTGCAGCCACTGTGGAAAACAGTTTGGTGGTTCCTCAAAAAACTAAATATGGACTTACCATCTGATCTAGCAATTCTTCTCCTGGACGTGTACCCAAAAGAATTGAAATCACCTATTCAAACAAAAACTTGTACATGAAACTTCATAGCAGCATTATTCACAATAGCTAGAAGCTAGAAACAGCCCAAATGTCCAGTAATGGATGAATGGATAAACCAAATGTGGTAGAGCCATATGATGGAATATTATTCAGCCAAAAAAGGAATGAAGTGATGAAAACGTTTTGGAAGTAGGTAGAAGTGGTTGTTGAACATATTGTGAATGTACTAAATACCACTGAATTGTTCACTTTAAAACAGTTAAGTTTGGGCCGGCCCTGTGGCTTGGTGGTTAAGTGCGCGCGCTGCAATGCTGGTGGCCCGGGTTCGGATCCCGGGTGCGCATCGAGGCACCACTTCTCCGTCCATCCTGAGGCCGAGTCCCACATACAGCAACTAGAAGGATGTGCAGCTATGACATACAACTATCTACTGGGGCTTTGGGGGGAAAAAAAATAAATAAATAAATAAATAAAACAGTTAAGTTTATATTATGCAAATTTTACCTCAATAAAAAATTAAAATATCCTTTTTTTTTTCCCTCTTTGCTGAGGAAGATTTGCCCTGAGCTAACATCCACTGCCAATCTTCCTCTTTTTTTGCTTGAGGAAGATTGTCCCTGAGCTACCCTCTGTGCCAATCTTCCGCTACTTTGTATGTGGATTGCTGCCACAGCATGGCTGACGAATGGTGTAGGTCCATGCCTGGGATCTGAACCTGTGAACCCAGGTCACCAAAGCAGAGCAGGCAGAACTTAACCACTACGTCATGGGGCTGGCCCCATAAATATCCTTTTTTAAAAAAAGCAACAAAGTCCTGATACATGCTATACATGGACAAAATTTGAAAGTGTGCTAAGTGAAAGAAGCCAGATACAAAAGGCCACATACTGTATGACTTCATTTATATGAAATACCCAGAGTAGGCAAATCCATAGAGACAGAAAGGAGGTTAATGGTTGCCAGGGGTTGGGGAGAGGAAGGAATGGTGAGTGATTCCTTAATAGATACAGGGCTTCCTTTTGGAGCGATGAAAATGTCCTGGAACTAGATTGTGGTGATGGTTGAACAACACTGTGAATGTCCTAGATGTCATTAATGGTAAATTTTGTGTGTATTTTACCATAATAAAAAAAAAATTAAGTTGATGTGCCTAAGGCTGAGGTGTAATTCTTTTTTCATCTTCTTCTCTTTGCTTTTTTATAGCCAAATATGGGATTCAACAAAAGGAATTCTCCTTAGAATTAAAATAATTTTTTGCTGCGTTATGGCTTCGATTTTTTTTTTAGCAAGTGTTTGTCAGTGGTGATCTTGGAGTCATTACCTGAAAAAAAAAAAGTTGTTTTTTGCCTTTCCACTTAATTGCTAGTCCCCTTGGAACTTTGAAGCTACTGCTTCATTGTTTTCTAATTTCTGGGTTGGCCTTTGGTGTTTGGTTTTGTTCTCCTGTCAATAATGTCTTTGTGCTATTTCTCTCACTCTGTAAGCTTTTAGGATTTTGTCTTTTATTTTTAGAGTTCCCGTATTTCACCAAGAAATGTGGATATGAGGATCCTTTTCCACGAACCCTGCTCAGCCCTTGGTGGCCCCTTTCTAGCAGAGGATGTTTGCTTTTTTTTTAGCTGAGGGAAGATGTTGTCCTGTGGCTTCTTTGTCGTTTCCTTCCCTCCCTTTCTCCTGTTCTCTCCTCCTGGGATCCCTTTGAGATGGTTGTTGGACGGCCTGGATTTATCCTCCCTGTTTCTCTTAATTTCTTCTATAAAAGTCTGCTTGCCTTTTTGCTTTACTTTCTGGGAGATTTCCTGGGATTTATTTTCCAGATCACTGATTGTCCATTCTGTTAATCAACCCTTCTGTTAAATGTTAAATCTTTGTTGTACTTTTTTTTCTACCCTCTCCTCCCCACCATCCTCCCAAGAACTGTTGTTAGCTTATTGCCCTTTTTACAGTCTCTTTTAAGGACACAGGAGTCATCTTTATTCTGAATGTCCTAGTTGGGATTTTTCAGACTCTGCATTTGGACCAGATCTACAGGTGGCACACCCCACTCCCAGGCCTTCGCTGCTCCTGGCAGATACTCACCTGATGCAGTTTTGCTCCGAAGCGGCATCTTCCCGCAGTCTGTGGTGACCATGTTCCTGTGCTGGGGTCCCCTCCTCAGCATGATAGGTGGCTGCCTCAAGTCATGCTCAGCCCCAGCCCAGCCCCACTTCACGACTTCTCGGTCTGGGAGTGGAGAGACTTCCTGCTTCAGAGAGCCGCCCCCAGGGCTCCAGGGGTGTGGCCACACAAAGGAGTTGAGCAAAGTCCACCCTTTTCCACTGGATTCTGAGCACAGTCATATTTAGCTTACATTTTTAGATAAAATTTACATATGATGAAATGCACATATCTTAAGTATACAGTTGTATGTTTTGACAAATGTATACACCTGTGTAACCAGTTCCCCCAGTGAAGATATAAAACTTTCTCAGACCCCCAAAAGTTCCCTTATTCCCCTTTGTAATCATTCCCCATCCTCCACCTCTTGAGGCAACCACTGTTAAAATTTCTTTCACTATATTTTTCCCTGTTCTTGAACTTAGAAATGGAATCACATGATACATCCTTCTTTTGTGTCTGGCTTCTTTCACTCAATATGTGAGATTCATCATTGTGAAATTTTTTTTCATCATTATCTTTTATTTTTCTCATTTTCATCATCATGTTGTATCACTAGTTTATTCTTTTTTTATTGCTGAGTAGTATTCCATTTGAATTCCATATGAATGTAGCACAGTTTATCTCCTTTGAACATTTGGGCTCTTTCTAGCTTTTTGACTATTATGAACATTCTAGTACACTGTTCCTCTTGCCTAAATACCTAGAAGAGGATTTCTGGGTCATATGGCAGGATAGTGTGCATTTTTGAGTTTTTCTCTACAATGTGACACCCTCTAGTTGCTCCTACTTTCAAAGGGTTGCCTCACCCTACCTGGCGCACAGGAGGTGGTGTGGGGCTACAGAGGGAGTAGGGGACCTTACGGGTAGAGGCACTGTGGCTGGGGCCAGCGGCAGGGCACAGTCATCCCAAGTTCCAGCTCTGCCTGCTTCACCACTGGACGCTGCCCCGTCCGCCCATCTTCCCCACCCAAATGATAGGGAGCAGCCTCTTTCCAGCTGTACTCCCTTCTCAGCAGCAGCTATGTGAGTGATCTTCTCCCAGTGGAAGCAGACCCTGCCAAGCATGTGATCTTCTCCCAGTGGAAGCAGACACTGCCACTTCTTCAACTTCAGGGATCCCCATGGCATTTAGAACAAAGGCCCAAGTCATTACCATTGCTCCCAAGGGCCAGCTGACCCTCTGGCCTCTCTCATGTGGTCCCTGGCTGGGCTCAGGGCTCCCTGTTATCCGCCCCTCTCCTCAGACCTCCTCCGAGCTCCTCATGCATCATTTGGGACCTCGCTTTCCGTTCATGAGGATGACCCTTCTCCTGCCAGGATGGCTGGACTACCTAGTAAGAATGGGGCCCTGACTGAGGCCTGTGTGTGGGCACCATGCCTCTAGGGCCCAGCTGGGCCTGGCTCAGGGCTTATGCCCAGGTCCTCACTGGAGGGAGACACTGCAGGTCCCAGGAGGCTGGCTGGCCATCTCTGAGGAAACCATCCCTCTAGTTCCTCCTGTGCCCATCCTGCATGGCCCATACGCCAGCCTGACTCCAGCTCTTGGAGGCTCCGAGCCCTGAAGAGATGACCCCACCCCTATGGCCCTCTTCCCGAGTACACTTCAAATGAAGACTGATACTAAACTGCAAAGTAAGAGTAAGGAAGGCCAGCAACCTGATTTTTCTCATAGTGACTACCTGGATGCTTTAAAAACAATGTAAAGTAAAAATATCAGTGTGAACAAAATGCATCCTTTTGTTTTCCGGTCTCTCGTTTTCCTCTGGCCCCTTTGGCTGGTCAGTGTCGACAGCTGGCGTCACCCACACTTCTGGTCCCCCAAACCCTCTGTGCCCTGCAGCCTTGAGCACCTCGAGAGGCCCAGCTCCAGCCTCGCCCTCTGCGCCAAAACTTTCAATAACCTTTGTTGAATGAGCAAAATGATGTTTCCATCAACTTTAGGTATTAAAATCCATTTAAAGAGAAATTTCTTTTCCAAGCCAAGGTGATTATTAAAACGGAAAAGAAAACCATTCTAGAAAGAAGACAAGGAAGACAGCGGAACTATGTTTTGTCGTAAAATGTGCCACCATTTCTGACGGCAGGCGTCTCCTTCACGTCATTTCTTGCCTCCCTTCCCCTTATCCTTTGGCTTTTCCGCTTCCTTTGGCTTTTCCGCTTCCTTTGGCTTTTCCGCTTTCTTTGCCTTGTCTGCTTCTGTTTCCGGTGGTTTTGCCTCTTCCTTTGGCTTTTCACCCTCCGGTTCCTTTGCTTGCTCCTTTGCTGGAGGAACCAGCACATTCTTTTTGACCTTCTTGCCTTTGAAGTGTTTTCTTTGAAGACATATATCAATGAAAGCAAAAAGTCCAGCCAGACCAATAAGGACCTGGAAAACAAAAGGATCCTCATTACTTTTGCTTTTCATTCCAAAGCTGGCATATTTCCGTCCTTGTTTCTAACTCGTCAGTAGGTGCTGGTTAGCACATCCCCTCGTCCCCTCAAACTACCAGACCAAGAGCCTCGGAGTTTGCCCCTCCCCAAGCTTTGGCTGCCCTGTCCTCACCATCCTGTGGTCTCACGGCTTTCTCTTTCTCTCTTTAAACCCAGCCTGGGTGGGGCCCTTTCCTCTGGGGTCAGCAGCTACGAGGAGGAAGCCATTAGCTTGGCTGGCTCCCTGGACATCATCTTTATTTAAATGGCTTCTCCATTGGAAACATTTACCAACTTTACTGTTAAACTTTGCTTGGATCCCAAGTTTTTGTCAAAAGAAAAGAAGCCCTTTCCTTAAAGCAGGGGAAAACACCTATTCTCCTAAAGGGGTGATTTCTGAGCAAATAAACAGTGAACCATGGAAGACTCACCACAGCAATTACATAGTTCATTGGCATGGTTTTTCGAGTGGTCAAAGCAAAGAACACGGTCCCCCCAAGGAAAATACAGCAAAACAGGTCATTGAGAAGGTCCTGAAAGCAGGGGAGAGATGAGAGTCAGCCTTAAACAGAGCCAAGGCCCCCCATCCACACCCGGCCTTGCATAGCTGCCTCCAAAGGGAGTGAATTTCAAACTTCTGCCTGATTTATAAAATATATATATGAAGATAAATGTACACCAGGCTGGGTGGACATACCTGTGGCCCCCCCAGCTGGGCCCTTTGAGTCAAGACTCAAAGTCCAGGATGCTTAACTGCCTTCACAGGCTCCCTCCACTACTATCTTGTCTATGAAATCACACATTTAGTGGCTAGTTATGTTTTTTTTCTCCAATACTTATTTAAATAAATGCATTACCATCCAACTTAATGATGTCCATCTTGAGTACCACCCCACAACATTTCTCTGCTCTCAGGGCCAGCTCCCCTCTCTGGATCCAGGCCCCACCACTGGACTCTGGCCTGGCAGCTGCCTCTTCAGCCCCTGCCCTCCCTGACCCCACCTTACTTCCTAGAGCCCCTGCCCCTCTTTGCAAGGCCGCACTACCGTCTCCATCATCAACTCTCCCTCCCATCCCTTGTGGCCTCAATCTTGCCCTTGCCCCATACTTGTTTCCCTTACCCTACTGACAAGGTCCAGATGTTCCCAGACTAGGCACAAAGGCTGCCTTCCATGCTGCCTTCTCCTCAAGTGCCACCCAGTGTTGCTCCCTGGCACAGCCCAACTTCTCAGAGTTGGTCAAACCATGGTCACAGCATGCCGGCTTCCTCCCCCATCACTCCTGGGTGATGCTAGCCCAGAGCTTATGCACCCTCTTAATCCTATAGGCAGCAAATGACTGCAGCGCTAGATGATGCCCACTCTTCTCCTTGGTTTCGATGATGCCATTTTCTGTGGACTATCCTTCCCTGGCCACTTTGTCTCTGGCCTTTCTTTTTCTTTTCAATGTTTTGTTGAATTTTAATACATTTCAAACATACAGAAAATAATAGAACGTCCCATCCCCACTCCTACCTCCACTAGCCATGAACCATTGAAATTAAACAGATGTTAATGTTTTGCAATATTTGCTTCAGCTCTCTTAAAAAAAAAAAAAACAAAAACAGAAGTAAAACTTTGTGGAGTGAGCTACAGTCTCACCAATCCGTCCCTTTTCCTGTCCACCTCCCAGAGGCAACCATGGGTTGGAGGTTGATGGGTAGGTTTCCCAAGCGTGTACTGGTATTTTCCTCCATATTATATATTCACAAACAATATATGCTATTTTGTGTGTTTCAAAAATTTAAATAAAAGATATTATATGTTCTGGCACGCTTTTTAAAGTTTTTGAGTTTTATCCATTTTAAGAAATATAAGTTGAATTCATTAATTTTAACTGAATAGTAGTAGAATACTACTGTATGCATAAACCAAACTAGAGACATTAGGTTGTTTCTACCTTTAAGGAAATTATTATTACAAACTCTGCTGCAATGAACACTCTTGTCTGTGCCTCCTCTGCACGTCCTCTCCTTGCTAAGTATTGCCAAGTTTCTCTCTAAGGTGCTTGTACCGATTCCCACTCACCCAGCAATATATAAGGGCTCCCACTTCCCATGTCCTTGCCAACACCCACGATTACCAGGCTTATTTATTTTTGTCAGTCTGATGAGTCAAAATGGTACCTCATTGTTGTTTTAAGTTTCAGGTCTCTGGTTACTAATGAGGCATTTTTAAAAACATGTTTTAGGCATTTGGCTTTCCTGTCTATTCATATCTTCTGTCCCATTTTTCTATTGGCTTGTATTAAAAATTTTATGATGTCTTCTGTTGTAAAGTTTTAATTTTAATGGGATACATAGTTTCTCTCTGTCTCTCTCTCCCTCCCTCTCTTTCTCTTAGTCCCAAGAACATTTATTAAATATTCCATTTAACTGTTTTATAATGCCACCTCTGTCAAATACAAAGTTGCCATATGTATGTAGGTCTTATTTCTGAGTTGTCTTTTTTATTCCTGTATTAGTCTGCTCAGGCCGCCATAACAAAATACCACACACTCGGTGGCTTAACAACAGACATTTATTTTCTCACAGTTCTGGAGGCTAGAAGTCCATGATCAAGGTGCCAGCAAATTCAGTTTTTGGTTTGTAGACAGCTGCCTTCCCACTATGACCTCACATGGCCTTTCCATGGTGCCTAAGGCGGGGATGGGAAGGAGTGGGGAGAGAGAGGGGGAGAGGAAGAGGGAGAGAGAGAGCTCTCTGTTGTCTTTTCTTATAGGGACACTAATCCTATGGGATCAGGGCCCACCCTTATGACCTCATTTAATCTTAATTACTACTCTTGAGACCCTATGTGCAAGTACAGCCATACTGGGGGTGAGGATTTCAGCATATGAATTTTGGGGGGGACATAGACATTCAGTCCATTACAATCCCATTAGTCTTTCTGGTATGAAAGCTGGTACCAGAGCTGGTACGAAAAGTTTACAGTAATTCCAATATCTCTTTGGGTGAGTCCATCCTTGTAATTCTTTTTATTCTTCCATAAGAATTTTAGAATCATCTTGTAAGGTTCCATGAACAACCTCTGTTAGGTTGAAATTTCATTTAATTTATAGATTACTTTGGAATTAAATTGTCATTTTTATGACAGTAATTCTTCACACCTGTGAGTGTGATATGTTTCTCCATTTATTTAGGTTTTTCTTTTATGTCCATTAATAAAATGTTATAATCTCTATGTAAAGTCTTACACATTTTTGAACAGATTTATTCTCAGACACCTTGTAGTTTCTGTTGCTGTTTTAAATGGTTTCTTTGAAAAGCCACATTTTCTCATTGTTCATTACTGATATTCAGGAACACTGTTGTCTTTGTCTCTGGTAACCTTGTAGAACTCAACTGGTTCTAGCAATTTGACGGTAGATTTTCTCAGATTTTCTGTGTAGAGAATCATGTCGTCTGTGAGTAATGCTAATTTTTTTCCTTCCCAATCCATATACCTTTTGTTTTTCTTGTCACATTGTACTGACTAAGATCTCCAGCACAATGCTGAATAGAAGTGAGGATAGTAAGCATCTCTAAGGAAATACTGCTAAAGTTTTACCATGAAAGGTAATGTTTATTATAGGTTTGGGTAGATACCTATTATTAAGATAAGGAGGTTCTCTTTCTTCTAGCTTGCTAAGAGTTTTCTAAAAATGAGTTACTAAATAGTTTTTTTTACTAAATATTACTAAATAGTTTTTCTGCAGCTTATGAGATGACAAAATGGTTTCCTTCTTTGAATAAAAGATGGTGAATTATACTAACAGAATTTTGAAGACAAAACCTTCTTTATATTCCTGACACATACCCTGCTTGGTCATGATGTATTGCTTGCTTATCTATTGCTTGGTTCAGTTTGCTAATATTTTATTGATGATTTTTATGGCTATAGTCAAGTAAGATTGGCCTATAGTTTACTTTTCTTATAATGTCTGGTTTTAAGATCAAAGACCTACCAGATAGTGCGACACGTTATAAACCCTTATTTATTTATTTATTTATTTATTTATTTATTTATTTATTATTATTTTCTATTTTATTTTATTTTATTTTTTTTGTGAGGAAGATTGGCCCTGAGCTAACATCTGCCAATCCTCCTCTTTTTGTTGAGGAAGACTGGCCCTGGGCTAACATCCATGCCCATCCTCTTCCACTTTATATGGGACACCGCCACAGCATGGCTTGCCAAGCAGTGCGTCGGTGCGCGCCAGGGATCCGAACCGGGGAACCCCAGGCCGCCGCAGCGGAGCACACGCACTTAACCTCTTGCACCACGGGGCCAGCCCCCCTAAACCCTTATTTTTAAAGAAAGAAAAAAGTCACAGACTAGTGTAACTGAAGTTAAAGTCTAGAAATGAACCAAGCACACGGCATTTTAGCACTTAACAAAAATGTCATTTCAAATCAGTGGGGGAAAAGGTGTACTATTCAGTAAATGAATAAATCAAATGATAAGGTGGAACAAGTGGATAGCTATCAGGATATACAGCTGAAGCCATGGTTCACACTATAGACCAAAATGACTCCAAAGGAATCAAAAGATTTAAATGTAAAAAATTAAACAAGTGCCAGATGAAAACATGGATGAATTATTTTATAACCTGTTTTTCTATTTCTTTTTGAGTCAATTTTTGTAAGTAATATTTTTTCTATGAAATTAACTATTATCTAAACTTTCTAATTTATTGGCATAAAAGTTCATATTTTCCTGGTGATCTTTAAAATCTCTTCTTGACCTTTTTTTTTTTTTTTTTTAAAGATTTTATTTATTTATTTTTTCCCCCAAAGCCCCAGCGGATAGTTGTATGTCATAGCTGCACATCCTTCCAGCCGCTGCATGTGGGACACGGCCTCAGCATGGCCAGAGAAGCGGTGCGTCGGCGCACGCCCGGGATCCGAACCCGGGCCGCCAGCAGCGGAGCGCGCGCACTTAACCGCCAAGCCACCGGGCCGGCCCTCTTCTTGACCTTTATAGTAATATTTTTCTTTTGTTCTTCTCTCTTCTTTTTTTTCTTGAGGGCTATGTACTTTATTAGTATTTTCAAAGAACTAGATATTTGGTTTTATTAGTCCTCACTATGCATCTTTGTTTCCTATTTCACTAATTTTAGTTCTTATCTTTGGTATTGCCTTCTTCTTAATTCCATTGTTTAGGTACCTTCTTGAGATAGACCTTTGAATTGTTAATTTTCTGTCTTCTTTTCTAATTATATAGATTTGAATTTGAATTGTTTAGCTGCATTCTACAGGGAGTATTGGCAAATACTACATATAACTAAATCCCCATATGTTTGGGGAAAACATATGGGGATTTAGTTAAACTTTACTGATTGATTTCTAATTATATTGCATTGAAGTTAGAGAATGTGGTCTGTAGGATATCACTTCCTTGTTATTTGTTTACATTTGCTTTGTGCTCTTATTGAGGATAATTTTTATGATTGTTCCTAGTGTGCTTTTAAAGAATATATAGCCTGTTACTGTTGAGTGTAGGGTTCTGTACGT